GTAGTATTGCTCTTTGCAGCGCAATATTTGACTGAATGGGTAAAAATGACGGTTATTTTCGTCAGTTACGGCTCGTTAGCTCTAGCATTCTGCCCGCTTCAAATTAGACACCGAGATGAAATAGTGCAGTTAGATCACATTTATTTGAATTAATTATCGACCGTTTGATCGAGAGAGGGAGAAAGATGACAGTTGTGTGTGTGAATTACCTGCGTCTGCATCTCTCTCTACAAACACAAAGTTGTGTGTGTTTGTACAAAGTTGTGAGTTTAGTTACTTAAACAGATTTTACCTCCTCGTTGCTGAGGAATATAATGCAGTGATCCAGTGTCTAAGCGTTTTATAAATAAAAGTTGCGGGGCAGTGTTGACAAGTTTATGTTGGCCTACTCCTGAACGTTTCTGTGTGCGCAGCGGGATCTCTCTCTCTCTCTCTCTGTCTCTGTCTGTGAGTGGTGTGTGTGTGTGTGTCAATTAAAGCAGCGCATTAATATAGAACGGTGATTAAACTGACTTGGAACTACCTGTGCATTAAACTGTTTTAATGCATACCTGCCAGCCAATCAGAATCGAGTATTCAGACAGACCATACCATATGATTTCAATAACTTGGCAGTGCCTATTTATGCCCTGATATATAGAATACTTTATTTCAGATTTTAAATCTTGTAAGGTGAACTATTTTCTCCTAGTATATACAGCAGCATGTATTTTTTCTGATTTGGTTGGTTTTTTAAACCAATTTAGTAGCCGTCTTGTCTGGATCATTGTACTCATGAATTCTTGTTTTTAGAACCCAACAATGATAGTCCAATGAACTCTGCAGCTGCCGAACTATGGGATGACCAGGAAGGTGAATGATCATGCCAGAGTGAAGCAGTTGTTTGAAACTGCAGTATTTTTAGAGAATTGTTCCTAGTTTAGTGTTTCGGTGAATTGTGCAATAAACTAACACATTTCAAATCTATTTTGTTGCAGCCTTCAAAACCCATTTGCACGCAACCTACAAGAATTGACCATGAACATAAATGTCTGCCTTTTGTTTTATCTGTGTTTTTTCTTGTTCATAATAATGTAAATTTTTTCTGTAATTGGTCTGTGTATATTATTTCTGTGTTGTATGAAACCTTCCTGAATAAAATGCTAACTGAATTGAGTTTGTGTCTCTAATTATTGGATTGAAGGAAGTGAAAATAAGACAAGAATGTTAAATAATTGCTTTTGTTTTATTTTTTTTATATTTACAATATAAAGGCCTGTAGTACACAACTGATCAAGTAAGAATATAGTCTGAAAATGTTCTGTATTGAATTGAGAGGCTTACAGAGTATAATTGTCAGCACTTTTAACCTGTTATTGAAAAAAGTTATTGCAGAATGCATGTCTCAATTTCAAAACTTTTATTTTATTCTAGTTCCAGAACCTAGCTCAGCAGGCATAGTAGACAGCCTACTTTGCAGTTGTGGTGATTGCAACAGCCTGATGTATTATTTTGAGACACCACCTCCACTTCCATGATGTCCTCCAAGCTTTCATCCTCTTCTTGCCCACCATCTTGGGTAGAAACGCCTTCTAACCAGCTTGGTTGTGTGGGTTCAACAGACCACAGTGGAACATTAACTCTTTGAAACATTTCTTCAAGCAGAACATCAATCTCCACTATGTGGTTCTTCAGGTCTGGGCTTGCAGTCTCCTCTACTGATAACCATGGCGTTTGCACCATGGCTGCCCGAGCTGCTACTTCCGAAGTTCCACCCACATAACCTGTGTTGACGAGGGCTTGTCGATCTTTGCGCTGGGTCAGAGGGAATATCTCTTGCAAGACTTTGACCTTCTTTAGGTCCTGCTGGAAGTTTTCCAAGCTGGACAAAAAGATCACCCAAAGTCGTTCAACCTGTTCTTTGTCCTCTTGTCCTTGCTCCATTTCTATCAGCAGACTTAGCAGCCTCCGGTGAAGCCCTGAAACATGAGTCGAACAAGTCAACTATCAACGCTTTGAATGTGGCATAATTGAATATGGCCAGCTTCTAGTTTTTGCAGTGCAGAAAAATACTGAAAGGGCAATGTAAAATTTCTGCACCACTAGCATCACCAAACTGCTTCCTGCTTGTCTTTTGTTTCTACTTGTCCAGTCTTACCTGAGCATATTTTATGAGCTACTGTCCTGGTTTCCTCCAGCTCCTCTCTAAGGAAGCTCCCATCCATGTTGCTCCCCAAGGAGGTGGCCATTTGCTGGAAGCAGGCTGTCACTTTGCTCAGGGCGGCCTGTGCCCGCTCGCATTCATTCACCTGCCTCTTTCTGGTTTGGATTTCCACCACCGACTGCCGCCAGCGACTCATTACCACTCATGTGGTGAACGACCTAAACTTAAGAATATTTAAGAGTTATTGTTGGTCTCAATATCAGAATTGGTCTGGCCTATTCTGAACTAAAATATTTGAAATTATATATGGCGTCGATTTGGTCTTAACTAGATGATGTGAAACTTTTAAATCTTGTAGTTTTACTTTTTCTCGATCTAATCCCAATTAAATGAATAGACCATAACCATTTCTTTTGCTTACACACAGAAATTATTTGCCGCCTTCATTAGCCTGGTTAATTATTTTTAAGTTCTCTTTTAAGAACGCTTGCACCACTTTGAAACACTTTATTTTGCCTTATTTCTGATTCAATTTAAAGGCTACACCCATTTGTATGCCTAACATTTTATAAAAGAAAAAAGCCACTTACTGGTAACTGAGCCTCAAAGAAATCCGTCTGATTTCATAGCCTTCGGAAAGTTGCGAGTTGTTTTGACAGTCCTGTTTCTCAGTGTGATTACATCCGTTGGAGACACTTCTGCCAACCTCCTTGTATTTGTACGCTCACCTATGTTCTTTTTTCCAAAGCTTTTATAGAGGCCGGTCTTCAGGGACACTTGTTAAAATTAGGCCCAAACCTTGCAGTTCATGCTCCCAGAATACCTTGCGCTGGAGATCATTATGTCAAAGTTCTTTCTTTCTCAGAAACACATGTAGTGTAGGGAGGACAAGGTTTTCGATCAAGAGATCCATGCATAATGAATTTCTATGTGCGGTTATCTGTATATATGTGTGCTTGTGGGAGTGTGTGTGTAATAATGTGTGTGCTGTGCACAGTGGTTTATGTGAAGTTAATTGTCCACAGGGAGAGTGGTATGGTATTGTGGAGGAACAGACGGAGATCCTTTATTGACTCCCTTGTGGTTACTTGGGCTTGTTTGAAAGCTGTGTGCCGCTTGATGCAACACGTATGCTCCCATGGGTCAAGTCTCCTGAGCAACACCAGTAATATTAACTCATTCAGTTAGCAAAACAGCAAAGCTGTAATAGGCACTGACATAATTCCTCAGTCATAATTATAATCTGCTTCACACTCAAAATTGTGATATAGGAGGAGTATTCCTTTTATATAAAGTAAGGTTCATCAATTACTAGATTCATTTTAGGATGCCAATTGCAATGAAAATCCAATGCATCTTTTTGTCATTGTCCTTGTCTAGAACGATACTCAAGCAGTGTTCAAGTATGGTAAGTGTACTTCATTGTTTAATCTAGAGTTCTGTTAGATATGGAAGGATCTTTATTGATTATCTAACAGGTGGCTTTAAAGTATTTGTTCATTCTCATAGCAATGACAAACACAAATTCACTTATTTTACATATACATTACAGCTTGGCCACTGACATGCCTTACAAAGGCAACTAGGAACTTCAACGAGAACATTGAGACAATGATTGAAATTATACTACAGATATTTATAAGATAATGGAAAGTGAACAAATTCATTTAGCATTGTTGAACACATCCTGTGGTTTCCATATTAAAGTG